CATAGTTATAGATATTTGTACCGCTCATTAGATGTTGTTTCGTACAAAATAAAGCATATCTATAGATATTTGTACCATACATTAGATGCTGTTTGATACAAAATAAAACATATTTATATATATTTGTACCGTACATTAGATGCTGTTTGATACAAAATAAAGCATATTTATATATATTTGTACCGTAAATTAGATGCTGTTTGATACAAAATAAAACATATTTGTAGATGTTTGTACCATACATTAGATACAAAATAAAGCATAGTTATAGATATTTGTACCGTACATTAGATGCTGTTTGATACAAAGTAAAGCATATTAACTCAGGTTAGTTCGTCACTCGAGTGAGAGAGCTATAATTGTTTTTGTTCTAATTTATAATATTTCTATTCAGAATATTTAAAACAGAAGCGTGATGTATTTAAAATGGTCACGATTTTAAGGCTTTCAGTTTGATCGATTCTAATGATAGTTGAAATTCACAGAGTTAATGCGAGTATTCACACATGCACTTTTTTGTGTGGTATCTTCAATGTAACACACAGGCGATTTTCTGTAGTATCCCTAATGCTATACATCAGATATTCCTGCAGTGTCTATTCTCACTATGGCGCACTTGATTTGTCTTTAGGATCCTCAATCTAACACAAGCAATTCCTATGTAGCATTGATATCATGCTTTTATGATTTTTCTAATTAATTGGAAAATCCTATAATAGAAACTATAATTTCTTGTTGTTTTTAGTGCAAGACTAGACTTGAGCTATTTACACTCTTTCTATCGCTGGAAATAGAACTCGGGATTTTAATAATGTAAGTCCAGAAACTTACCACTAACCCATCGCGAGAAGAAATTATTACTAAACCTAAAACTATATTTTGAATGTGCGACATATGAGATAAATGGCCATATTAGAGATCCGCGAATCAGACATAGCTGTTCTTAATTTAGAACTTCTAACCATAGTAAAGACAATAAATCAGCAACACCAACCACCAAAAAACGACTCATAACCTAATAGTAGAAGTGACTTTTAATTTTACAACGCACACGCTACTGAAAGTGCAAAGTGGTTTGAGTAGTTTATCGCAGCTCGAACCTTGGACCTTCTTATCCACACCTTGAACCTAAAACGGCTCAATTTATTTGTAGTACTTTCTATACTAACTTGAATTACTGAATAACTAATATATTATTAACCAGAATGAAATTTCCAAGGTAAAATTATAAAATAATAGCATTTCCTTTTCAGAAATCAATATTTCAGGCAAAACCAAAACCAGAGGAAGGAGGCATTTAAAATAATTAATAAAGGAAAATTCGGCTTATTTACTTTTGCTAAAAAAAATTCAATATAAATATTAAAGTATTCAAATTTAATATAAAATATTAATATTGTTCTCGTTCTTCTTATTACGCTAGTTCATGGTGGTTAAGGCACTCAACTTCCGACCTGAGACTTGTTAGTTCGAATTTCGTCCCAGAACATGCTCGTTCTATCAGTCGTGGGGGCATTATAATGTGATGGCCAATCTCACTATTCCTCGGTAAAAGAGTAGCCCAAGAGTTGGCGGTAAGTGGTGTTGACTAGCTGCCTTCCTTCTGATCTACCACTTGAAAATTAGAGGCGGCTAGCCCGGATAGCCCTCGAATAATTTTGCGTGAAATTAAAAAACAAACAAATACTACGCTATCTTTATTTTGAAACAGGTGAAAATGAAATTATTATAAATAGAAGCATATTAGCCATTGTAAATTTACCCTGATTATTGTGTTGATATGACATCGCATTTTACTGACTTCTTAATTTCAAACAGCAAGAACTCTAAACGATCGAAGTGATAAGTGCCTAACAAAACTTGGTTATTTTAAGAAATAAGAACTCTGAACGATCTGAAATGAGAAGTGTCTCACAAAACTTTTACCCAGAAAGAACTCTAATGAGAAGTGCCTCAAACTTGATGATTTCAAGCAGCAAAAATTCTGAATTATCTGAAATGATAGTTTTTAATCGAACAATAAATAAGGAAACTAAAGCCGACAAAGAGTTTTCCAAATATTTACTTTTACATACGTGTTATTGCAAAAGTAACATTAATTTATTATCCACATAATTGCTATTACTGTCTTTGATTCACATAATCGTAAGCCTTATGTTTCTCAAAGAAACAAGGCTACTTGTATTGCAGCTGTAAAATATCATTATAATCATAGTCATGCGTTTCACAAAGAAACAAAGCTACTCGTATAATTGGCTGT